ACACTCAATCCACTGAGCCACACCAGCCAGGGCTAAAAAAGTGTATATAAATTAATGTCTTTTGGGTGCATTTTGAAATAAAGCTTGGTTGTCTGTGCTATACTAACCATTCTCTGCTTTTTCCTTTTTTCTCTGCTCCATTCTGATTTTTTTCTCACTTCTTGTTCATTCTTCAAATGAAACACTGTTAAGTTTGTATTTTTTTTATAACTCCTGGGCAAAGTGAAAATTCATCAAGAAAAATTGTGCACATGAGTCTAACAAGAAAAAAATGTTGAAGAGAAAAGGAGTAACTGAATTTAACAGAAAACAGCTTGTACAGGTGAGTGGAAATTAAACCAGAAGTTTTAATGGCATATGCATTTTTAGATGTAAAAGCAACATAACATCAAAGCTTCCTTAAATCCTAGAATTTCCCCACCCTACCATAAGAACTTTAATTTTTAATCATTTTCATTCAGGAGTTGTTCATGTGCATATTTGTTCATGTAATTATAATCTCCATGCATATAATTTTGCATTTTGGTGAATTTTTTAAGCCCAATGTCAGAAAACCTTTTTAAAGCTCTTTTTCATGTTTATTAGATGAGTTACCAGGTATTTGGGGGGAACTTTTTTAGGGTCAGACCTGAATGCCTGCTGACACTGGGCATCCAGTTTTTGTATTGTTTCTGGCTGAAGAGCGTCCCTATCAGCTAGTCCTGAGGAAAGCTACAATGACACCAACCTCTGGGCAAAGAAAAATGAGGTAAGTGGGGCTTGTAGCTGGTAGAGTTGCATGTTTTCTAGTTGAATAATGAAAAACTTAGCAAAAAAAGTACTGATTGGGAATTGAGAAAGGTTTAGATACATGTATGCCCCTTCTCCTGAGTCCCTAGTATTCAACCTCCTCCAGGCTTCTCTACTGTATGGGTTGAAAAGGGGATTTAAGAACCATAGACTCTTAGGTTTGTGACCTTTGAGGGCACTTCATCTCACCGCCTCATGATAAAGACAAGAATCCGGATCTGGAGCTGAGAGAGAAGGCAGACTTCACTGTTGCAGGAAGGTGGGTGGGAAAACAGACCCTAGGACTTCTGGTTCAAGGCTCTTTCCAGTCCTGAGAGGAAGGAGCAACAAAGAAATGAATAGGATTAAGAAACAAAAAGATGCAACAGAAAAAGAAAGCAAAATTAGAGGAAAGGAAGATGGTATGGGGAGAAAGAAGAGAAGGACAAGAACTAGGAGGAGGTTTTCAAGCCCTTGCTAACCTCAGAAGTAAACTTGAATTTAGAGAGCACAGAGTCCTCTGAAATGAGCATGTCCAGTTATATGGGGGAGTCAGCTAAGCTGTAAGTATTCTTGTCCGCTTACAGGTCAAGTGTTTAGAGAAGACAACATGATGAAAGATGACCATTCAGGATGCGGTCTCCTTTACCATTTGGTGACCATGGAGGAAATGCATGCTTTCTTTCTTTTTTTTTCTTTCATAATTGAGATTTTATTGGTTGTTTTTCTTTTTTAAAAGATTTTATTTATTTATCTTGAGAGGGGAAGGGAAGGAGAGAGGGAGAGAAATAACAATGTACAGTTGCTTCTCATGTGTCCCCCGCTGGGAACTGGCCTGCAACCCAGGCATGTGCCCTGACTGGGAATCGAACCGCAATCTTTTTGGTTCACAGGTCCGCACTCAATCCACTGAGCTACACCAGCCAGGGCCTTATTGGTTGTTTTGAAGATCAGTATACAGGTGTTGCAATTTGTACAGAATTTTAAAATTTTATTATTTTAAACCATTTTTATTGTTATTCTATTACACTTATCCAGATTTTCTCCGGTTGCCCACCTCTGCTCGTCCCACCCACCCTCCACTCCCACAGTCGACCACCACCCCGTTGCCCACGTCCGTGGGTCACTCACAGGTGTTCTTTAACTGGTCCCCTCCCATTCTTTCCACCATTATATCCCTCCCCCATCCCCTCTGGTCACTGCCAGTCTGTTCCATGTTTCCATGCTTGTGGTTCTGTTTTGTCCATTAACTTCTTTTGCTCATTATATTCTTCTTATAGGTGAGATCATACAGTATTTGTCTTTCACTGCCTGGCTTATTTTACTTAGCATAATGCTTTCCAGTTCTACCCAATGTGTACACAGTTCTTATCATACATACCAAAAATATAGTCATAGTCATGATTCCTTTCTAAACAATTATTCCAGTGACTTTCTAGCTTAATTCGAAGCCTAATTTTCCTTAATAGAGCATTAAGTACCTTTGAGTGCCATTACATCGAAGTCCCACTAATTCATACTTTAATATCATATAAACTACTTAACAGAATGTTCAGTCTTGTATAGCACATTAACAAAGTTACCACGAAAACTGGACCATTGTGCTGAAGATGTTACAGAGCACACAGAGTTCTAACTGGGAGCCCCCAGGTCAAGGAGCAGTTTTCTTCAGAAAACAATTCTGCCAAAAACATGGGAAGAGAAGGAATTTAAAATGTTTAAGACACAAAGTGCACAGCTGATTCCGAAGTGCCATTCTGTGTGCTTTGTATTACAGGACAAAAAAACTAACCCCATCGGCGGAATGTTAAACTGACCTGAAGCCTCCCACATTCAATATCCTACTATTTTCTGGCTGCCCCGAACAATAAACAACAGCACGATTTCACCTCCTGAAAACGCGTGTGCACACACTCAGGTGGGATGAGCCCTGGTTGGGTGGTTGGGGTGTCCTACCAATTCGCCAGAGGCTGCGGGGTGGATTCCCCGTCAGGGCACGTGCACGAATCAACCCATGAATGCACAACTAAGTGGAAAAACAAATCTATATTTCTCTCTCTCAAAAAAAATCAATAAAACAAAAGAAAACAATATATTCTAAAAAACCAATAGTAATAAAAACAAATTATGGTACATTAAAAAAATGGGATGAGGTGGGATTTCCACCTTCTTAAAAATGTTTGGCAAAACAGTTGATAAAGAGATTCCTCTGGATTATACAAGAAGGGGGACAGGAACCACCAGTGAGACGTGGTACATGGTATTAACCAGACTTGGTTTCTTTTCCTTCTGCTTCACCTGGGGCGCGGCTTTCTTCATGTTCAGTTTCTCTGTTCTCTGCAGTATAGGTCTTCTTTAGGTTCCTGGGTAGCCGCTTTGGTCTGTTCTTCATTTGTTCCCCCTCTCCCTTTCATTTGCACTTTTTTCTGCACTTTATCCTTCCTGCTGCCTTTTTTTTTTTTTTTTTTTTGCTTCATTTCTATTCTGCAGGAGCAGGTTTAGTTGACAACTTTGCCAATATCCTCTTGGGTTCCTCCTTTGCCACCTCCTTGGCAGAGCTGACCTTCCTCTTGGCACGGTGGCAGCATGGTGGCACAGGAGGGCACATGCCAGTGCCTGAAGGTCCTGGTGCACCAAGAGCCTTGGTGACCCCGGGTGGCCTGGCTGCGGCTGCTTCCCCCACCTCCCGGGCTGCTTGGCCCCACCACAGTGCAGGCCTTTCATGTGGATTCCTCAGGGGGTTTCTCTAGTTGAAGAATAGATACAGATGACCTGTATCTATACACATAGTTGACCAACGCTCCACAAATTCCCTCTGTCAACTCCTTTCTGGATACTTATGGAACTTCAGTTTGCTCTTGAGATATCACTAAAAAAAGTTAATTAGGCACTAGCAACCTAGAGAAACTCAACCTCCCTCATTTCATAGAAAGGTCCACAGAGGATTTGTAACTAGCCCCAAGTCCTGTAGCTTAGAAAAATGTAGTTCATGGGGTGTAACAACCACCCCAAAGCTTAGCAGGTGAGATAGTCTCTCCAAAATGCCTGCAGTAAAGCCCTTTTATTCTTACACATACATGCTTCCCCTCAAACCAGAAGTTTGAGTCTATTTCCTCTCCTCTTAAATATGGCTTGCCTTGTAACTGCTTTGTCCAATAGAATGAAGTGGATATTCTAGAACTTCCAAGCTCAGTCTTAAGAAGGCTGGCACTGTTCAGCTCTTCCCTCGAAGCCAGCTGCCTGGTGAAAAGTCTGACGGTCCTGCTGAAAGGACCACACGCTGTGAGGAAGCCAGAGCTCGTGACCTGGAAATACAGAGGTCATGTGGAGGCCGACTGAGGTGCCTGATGTGTGAGCGAAGACTTCTCAGACCTTCCAGCCCAGATACCAAGTGAGTGAGCCTAGCCAATGCCCAGCTGACTCCAGCTGACTCCCAGAATCATGAAAAATAGTAAATGGTGGTGATTTGTTACACAGCAATAGATCATTGACATGGTGACTTAAAATGGTAACAATGTATTGGGTTGGTCAAAAAGTTCCTTTGGATTTTTTTCCTAAGATGGCTCTAGTACCTTAGTTGTCTTTAACTTCATTCAAAACAATTTTGTTAAATTGTACTGTGACAGTTGTCTTATCAGCATTCATTAAAAAAAAAACTTATCAAAATTGGTGAACTTTTGTGAAGCCATTTTAAGATTGAAGATGGAAGAAAATATGCAACATTTCCAGCATATTACACTTTATTATTTCAAGAAAGGTAAACATGCAAATGAAACGCAAAAAAAAAAAAAAAAGATTTGTGCAGTGTATGGGAAAGGTGCTGTGACTGATCGAATGTGTCAAAAGTGGTTTTTGAAGTTTTGTGCTAGAAATTTCTCATTGAATGATGTTCTGTGGTTGGGTAGACCAGCTGAAGTTGATAGTGATGAAATTAAGACATTAATTGAGAACAAGCATCATTATACCATAGGGGAGATAGCCAACATACTCAAAATATCCAAATTAGCCCTGGCTAGTGTGGCTCAGTGGATCGAGTGCTAGTCTGTGAACCAGGGGGCTGCAGGTGCGGTTCCCAGCTGGGGCACGTGTCTGGGTTGTGGGCTGGGTCCCCATTTGGGGGTATGCAAGAAATAACCACACATGATGCTTCTCTCCCTCACTTCCCTTCTTTTTGGAAATAAATAAATAAAACCTTAAAAATATATATATATCCAAATCAATAAAGCTATTGGTGAGAATGAAAAACGTGTCTTTTATTTTACAGAAAAAAACCACACAGACTTTTTGACCGACCCAATATTGTTTCTAGTGAATCTATCAGTTGGGTGGGTGGTTCTGCTGGTCTGAACCAAGCTTGGCTGATCTCACTTGGACTTGCTTGGGTCTCTGCACCCTGTCTGGGCAGGGTGGCCTCGGCTGCCATGATTCAGCTCTGCTTCACAGGGTCTTTCATCCTCCAGCGTGCCTGTTCTCAGAGTGATGGCAAGATTCTAAGAACAGAAGCAGAAATGCAGAAACTTTTTTAAAAATGGACTTTCTTTTTTAGAGCAGTTTTATGTTCACAACCGAGCACAGAGAGGGAAGGGACTACAAAGTCAGAGGGAGATTCTTACTTGGGGTCGTTAATGCTATCAAATCTACTACAAGGAATCTATTGTGTATTCCTTATAGGGGAATATTAAATAGCATAATTAATATTTTGGACTAAGGCCTGGAAAAATTGGAGAAATTATACTTGAAATAAAGTAAAACAATTAGATGAGTAGGTTGTTTTATTTTTATTTTTAAATGTTTCCAGGTTTCCTGGCCAAGTCATTATTGCTAGAGATATTGATCTTGGTTTCCTTCCAATAGAGGGTGACTTTCCCAAATTCTTGTTGATAAATTTGGAGAGAATCTGGAAGAAATATCAGGTTTTGCACTATGTGCTCCCTTGTTCCATTAATCACTCCACAGTAATGATGATCTTAAGGCTTTTGGTTGAGTGGTTTAGAGTCCCATTTAATAGCGTTAGCTCTCCAAATAGCCAGTGCTCAGTCAGTCTGCTTTGTGACTTCTCTCTGGACACTGAAAGCTGTGGGCATCTGTGCTTTAAAGGAATCACTCGGGTTCTTAGTGGGAAATGGGGGCTGTGTATGCACATGTATGTGCATTTGTACGGATCGTGTGTGACCACCTGTGATCCACTGGTGGATTGCCAGGGAATATTAAGAACTGACTTTGCATTCTGACTTACCACGGCCTCTCTGGGGAGCAAATTTATTTTCCTCTCCTGGGATTTCAGAGCAGACACTTGAAGAGCAGAGAAGGGGAGACTGGGATTACCATCCCCACGAACCAGCCTGCCTGCTACTGGCGCAGTGTGCTGCTGCCCCCTACCCAGTGATTCACACCAGGCCCATCCGGCCCTTCTGTGAGCTGCTCCTCTTTCCTCCACTGCCCCTCTGTGGACCCCAAATTGAATTTTGTTAATCCGGTGTTTGTTATTTCTTGTGCAGGAATCGGGAGTCAAGGAACCTGTGTCCTGGCCCTTGAGTCACTTAGTAGCTTTGGGTGTTCCTTTTCTCTTCTGTAAAATGAGCAGCCTGGACTAGACATGTGTCCCTGCTCTAGCTTTGAAGACTTAGGTGCCAGTATAAAACCAGACACACATCACTGGGTCCTAAATAAGTGACGCCCTAAAACCTCGGATACATCTGGAAGAAGTAGACTGCGAAAAGTCTAAGAATAAAGGTGTTTGTGTTGACAAGGAGTTAGTGCACTCCACTCTGAGCTGATATTACACCATAACCAGCTTCCCCAGGGGCGGGGTGGGAGGTACAAAAAGATTTCGGAACTGAAAAGAATAGTTTACTGACAGTTATATTGGCTCACCTGGCCAGCGATATTTGAGGACAAGGACAATGAGTTGTTGGTTTTCCACGTACTGAACGTATCCCACGTTTTCCATCAGTGTTGCTTTTATTTTATTTTTTTAAACAAGGGTAAAATGGAAGGAAGTAATGAGGCTGAGAAATAGTACTTGCTTTGATTAATCTGGGAGACATCTGCTACCTACCTTTCGGTTCCTATTTAGTAAATTTAGCTATTTCCATGACAGCACCCCTGCCCCGCCGCAGGACAGTCCTTTAGATCCGCTCCTGCCCGTTCTGTAACTAGACTGACAGCAGATGGGAACACAAGTGCCCCACGCCCACTCAGCGCTCTCCGGGGGATTTGGTCCCCACCACCCATCACAGCCTTTGCGCTTTACGTCCTGCCTTCTCTCTACTAGGATCCGCTCGCCAATTCTTCTCTACCTGTTGGGTAGGTCTTATTTCCTGGGAACACTTACTGTTTTTAGAAGGGGACACACCGTCCCTTTCTGGTGGAGGGGGCACCAGTGCTTCAGTGAGGGAATTGCAGGAAGCGGAGTCCAGTGGGCAGGAGACCGGGCGACTCAGTGCAGAGTTCAACTGCCTGAGGATGGGGGGAGCCCTATCCCAAACACAGTCCTGTTTAGCCAGGACGCAGGATTTTGAGAACTGCCGGGAAGCTCCTGTCTAGCTCTGGAGTCGTATAGGATTCGGTCCGCCTCACCCCCGCTCTCCGTCCCGGGTATCATCCGACCGCGGGTCCGAGAGCCGAGTCCACGTGCGACCACTCTGGAGCTCAGTCCGACTTCCGCGGAGGATGCCGCCGGGCTGCTGCTCTAAACCGGTCTGGCTTCCCTGCAGGGCGTGCGGGATAGAGCAAGGGGGTGGAGAGAAAAGGGGAAGAGCTTGGGCGGCCGGCGGGCGGGGCCTGCAGCCTCCCGGAGCCGCGGCAGTCACCGAGCAGTCTTCTTTCTCTGCGCCTCTCTCCGACTCCAACGCGTACTGCGCCGGGACCCGCGCCCCAATCGGGGGGCGCCGCTGCTCCCGGGCTTCGGGCCTGCGATAGCGCGGCTGCAAGGCTGCGCGGGCTGTGGAGCTGTTTCTAGAGGCTGGTGGTTTGGTGACCGTTCGCTGCTCTGTCTGACCGACGGACTAGCGGGGAAGGAAGGGGAAAGAGGGGACACACACACTCGCCGCGGCGCGCGCGCATTGCACACTAGCAGCCGCGCGCCCCCGGCGAGGCGCGTCCGGCGCAGTTTGGCCCCGCGGCTCGGGCCCCAGCACCTGCCGGCTCTCAGCTCAGCGCTCCGGCCCCGCCCCCAGCCAGCGGACCCTCCAGCGCCTGGCCCGCCCTGCTGTGCCGTCGCGGTGGGGAATCAACAGCACCCCGATAACTTGCCGACTGTGGCGCAACTGGTCTCGACAACGGAGGCGCTCGAATGCTGCCCGAGTGAGGTAAGTTTCCTGCGCGTCCCCGGCCCCTCCTCCCTGGACCCTTCTTCTGGGCTTGGGCTTAGGGACTCTGTTGGCTCTGAACGAATCCTGGAGGTCTCTTCACGCTCCCACTGTGTCTGCGTTGTGCTGGGGGTAGGCTAAAGGGGGTGCTACCGAAGCGGGACATTCATTCCGCGGGGGCCACAGCTGCGCGCTCCCCGCCGTCACTCACCAGCTCGCCACTCCGATCCCGGGGCCGCAGTGACACCGGGGGTTCATTCTGGGTTCACTTATTCAGGAGCCCCGTCCTTTTTTCGGGGGAACGCGCTGAATTTGGCGATATTGGGAGACATCTCCCACCACCCTCCCCCAGTATTAATCAGCGGCGAACTTGTTAGGCACCCCTGGGATCTCAAGAGGGGCTTTCAAGTCGGTGTTCTGGTCATTTCTGGCACTGGAGCCGGATTGAACAGGTGCGGTATGGTTCCAGCCTAAATGCTACAACAGACTTAGCATTTCCTTATCTTCTCCCCTAGCCCCGTCAACGTGACACTTCAACAGCTGGGGCAGGAGGGTGGGAGAGATGGGGCGAGGGGCGGAACTGAGAGAGAGACTGACCGGGTTTGATTTGTCAGGCCAGAGCCAGGAGTTGCCAAAACAGAAGACAACAAAAGTCTGCTAATCGCTCATCTATGCAAATGAGCCTGTTGTCCTTTCTTATCCCCCACCTCGCTCGTTTATTTGTCTCACGTGCACAGCGTGGTTGGGTAGAAACCCGTTCCAAAGAAGTTGTTTGGGTAGGCTGATGAATTCTTTCGTCTTGTGTACCGCAATCAGGGCTCTCAACAAGGAAATGCTAGTTACTCTGATGCTTTTTAAAGGCAAGAGTGTTGCAGACCAAAAATACCGCCCTCTCCCCAACACTTTTCTATGAAATTCTCAGCCTGCTGGAGACCCTAGCTACAAGATGAATGACTCCTGAGGGACCGGTTGGGCTTCATAATGTGTTATTAAGTCTTCTGCAAAAAAGAAGCGGTCCCCTCATTAGTATTCCTGAGTGGAGGTTTGGGGAACCGCTGTTGCCCCTCTGGTGAAGATCATCCACCCAGGCTTCTCCCTTGTTCTGTGGAAAGGCTGGTGTTCTGCAGCCCAGAGGAGAAAAGCAGAAGGGTTTGTTTCATTACCACTCTGATGTGAAGTAGAATAGTGTTCACAGGAGCTTTTGTCAGAGTATTTCCAACTGAAAGGCAGCCTTGGAAAAAAAAAAAGCCTTTCTCAGTCAACTTCATGCCAGTGGGAAGTTGAATAAGCATCATCACAGCTCCAGATGATCTGGAGCTGAGGGAAATGGTGCCTCTGTGTGCAGTAATATGAGCAGAGACTTATGAAGACTGATGAGAAAGCTGGGAAGTCTGAGACTGATGCGTAATGATGTCTTAAGAAGGAAAGTATTAAGAGCTGGAAGATTAAACCACATTCCTTTTTGTCTAAATTAACACTAGACGGATTTAATAATAACACTTTAAATTTGCATCAGTGCCTTACTATTTGTAAGTGCTTGTCAGTGTTCTCACTTGATTCTGACCACGTCTAAGAGATGCAGGACAAAGGTTATGAACCTGATATTCACAGGAGGAACGTGAGGCTCACAGGTCCAGGGTCTTAGCATGGTAACAAGTGGCTGGAATTGGGGTCACAGCAAGGTTCTTTGAAATACCCATACCATCACCACTGTCAGCACCCAGTGCTGGTTTTGTACTTGGATAACGTTTTTGCAATGCCCACAGCTTCTGCATTTATTTTTTTTCTGCACAGTCTTACTGTGAATTACTGTTCACACTTGACAGATGAGGATACTGAGGTTTAGACAGGTGATGGGAGTTGTCCATGGTTTCATGTCTAATCCAATGGAGTGTATAAGGCTAGAACTCAGAACTCCTCATGCCTACCCTATTGCTTTGTAGATGATGCCATTGTTCCACTTCTGATAGCAATTAGGACACATCACAGATGCTGCACTGCACTAGGGACTGTTAAGCATGCCTGCTGGTGACCTGGGTTCTAGTTCTGGCACTATCTTCGTCTGTATGACCTGGGCCAAATCATAGCACCTCTGAACCTTAAGACTCTCACATATAAAACAAGAGATTTGTGTTGAATTATCCTTCTCCTTCTAGTTTTAGTATTCTGCAATGTGCATCAGTATATTTGTAATCCAGTGTTATAATTTTCTCTACAGGGAAAAAAAGCCTTTTAGCCTTGTGTTACTACGGATTTAACCAATTATCTGTTTCATGTGTGATTTACTCCTCCCTCTCATTCACCACAGACCACTTACCCGTATTTTGTCCTGCGTAATGGGCATCCACGTTTTGTGAGCATTACACACAGGATTATTATGCCCATGTTATATAATCATCACCCCCATGTATAATGCACATCCTTATTTTTCCCTCAACAATTTGGGCAAAAAAGTGCATGTTACACACCGCAAAATATGGTAGTGAAGGGAAAGGAAATTCCAAGTGTACTTCAGCTCAGCATCTATGTTGTTTGGTATTACTATTTGATTTGAAAATATTCTGAGGGGCTGACCTACTCTGAAATACATGTCAGGATTTACTTGAAAATTCCGGACAGTCAACTCAGTACCTTTATTTGTTTAATTTTCAGTTTGGGGGTTTATATACTGTAAGTACTCAATAAATAGCTGTTGAATGAAAAAGGTGAATCAAATAACCCCTAAGGCAATCACAAGCATCTCATCATGTAAATTTCCAACATCTGCTGACCGTAGGATCATTTACCTACAAGAGTTGTGCCTCCTGAAGCTGGCAGGTAGAGGTGCCCATTGTTGCTCTCCTTCCTGAATACATCATATAAAGAAGAGTTGTTCTTATTCCATGTGGACAATAGACTCGTGTCATCTGTTACACTCTTTCACTTGCCTCCCCCAACTTTGTTTATAGCAAAGTTTTACCCATGGAAAAATATATTACTAGAAATTGACTTGTGTCATGTCATGAAAGCATGTGTCTTGAGAGGGAGAAACCAACCACTCTTTTTTAATATATGTATTTGAGTAAATTTCAGCACACTCTAATACCAGCTTGTGGTTTCAGAGGGGGAACCTAATTAACAAAACCAACCTAGTTTCTGTTCCCTTTAAGAATCCTCTTCTCTTTGCACCTCTTGTTTCTGTGTACTGAGTAGTGTTTCTGTACTTAGCAGAATGATGGCAAAGAGTTAGAATGGGTCTTAAATATTAGTAACAGACCCAGCCATTGGGGATGGAGGTGTATTTCTTTCTGATAAGAGACTTCAAATATTAACTAACTAGTTCAGACACTTGCACCTTTTATGGGTAAGACAGACAGCTGAGGCTTAGAGAGGTGAATTGGCTTGCTCAGAGTCACACAGGTGTTTAGCAGGGGTATCAGAGCTAGGGTGGAATTCTTAAGAAGCTTCACACTCAAGATTGTGCCGGGGGTTTATGGTGAAGGTGCATTTTTTCCTTTTAAGAAGAAAAAATGTGTCTGTTTTTATCTATTCCCAGTGTTTCTCTGGGCTGTATAGTAGAATCAGCAGACTCGGAATTAATACTTTGCTCCAACCAGTGCTTAGAGACAGAAGACTATTTGAATAGGAATACAAATGTATGCTGGTTTTCCCAGAGTATCTTCCTGGTAAATGAAGCCAGAAGCCAAAGGTGGCCCTCTCGTGTAGCCAATAAAGTCATAAATATGTATACATTTACTTTTCATTTTCATTTTGCTTGTACTTGTGTTAAATGGTGAGTCAGAACACTTAATATCCTGGAAAAATAGGGTTTTTTTTTCCCCTCTGGCTAGAGCCTTCATTAGTTACTCTGTAAAACACCAAGTTCTAAATGTGTTTGCTGCAGAAACATGTTCTCTTTTATCAAGTACATTAACTGGAGTTGGAAGGAGGCCTTTTATTTTTGTAGAAGCTGCCCAGTTAGAATTGTACATTATGTAGCTCAGCTGTTCATTTGTAGACTTTTCTGGAAATTCTAAAAGGAAGGCAAATAAGGGAGGAGAGAAACCTAGCCTTTTGTTTAGTATTTCTCTTTTAAAAAATATACTTCAAACTGAACCTATTGGTGAAATTTTTGCAGTGTACTGTATGGTAAACAATTACCTGCTGTTAAAGCATTTCATTCAGTCGTGTTCCTTTCAGTATAAAAGATTAGTCCAGGAAAAACAGGCTTGATTTTGTGATTGCCATTCTCAATTGTATTCACTTCTGTCTGACTTCATCAGTGTCATAGAAAGGAGACGATGATACAAGAAAACACAAGAATCCTACCCAAACTCGATTATTCTTGGGAAGATTTGAAACATAGATGACAATGGAGACAGTGACATGTTTAGTTAGCTGGCAGTGTCTTGGGATGATCATTTTAAGTGAAGACAAGCCCACATTTGAATGAACAACTCTGTGAAGTGCCTTCTTGCAGAAAGTCTTCTGTGTTGTTTATGGGGCTGACTAGATAGTGGGTGTGCAGTTTGTTTGGGAGAGTTTACAGAATAGGTGAGCAGTGAGGTCTTGGGACTTGTTTTCTCTAGGGGTTTGACGAAGTCAGTTGTGAAACTAACGAAACATAAAGCATCAGGTGTGCAGTGCGGCTCCCACTAAAAACAGGTGTGTGTGACTTTCAGTTGAGGTTCAGGCAAGGGTTGGAATTCAAGCACTGGGGGCCCAGGGAGGATAATTAACTTGACTTGAAACTAAAGTTCCAGGACTAAAGACAGGACTGTAGAGAGTTCATCCATTTTGTAAGAAAAAGGTGATATTTAAATCTTGGCCACTCAGTAATGTTGAGCAAGGGGGTTGCGAAGAAGATACAATTATAGCTAGCCGTAAAAAATGTGTTTCTTTGCTTTACAAGCACGAGAAATGCAGTAGATTCCATAGTGTGGTTTCAACATTTAATATGCACTTTTTTCCTTTCTTCCTTTAAAAACTAACAAAAAAGCACATGCCCACTATCATGTCGGTGGATCACTGGGTCATAACATTTGTTGACAAAGTCAGGAAACGAAAGAGCAGCAATCCAAAGAAGCAATATTATGACCTGCCTGAGGGAGTGGTAAGCACATCCTTGGTGTTCAGCTAATATTTGTCAATGGAAAAGGTTAGGCATTATGTTTTATTTATCTTTGCATTCTTGGAACTTAGCACTATGCCTGGCAAGTGGTGGGGATTTAATAAAAATGTATTGAACACTTTATGCATCCAAAAGAAAATCACTCATCACCTTGGGACATTTCATAATTATTCTAATGATTCTATTATTTTCTAGACCATTTAGAAATGTCAAGCAGGCTAGTTTCAATAGTTTATAGTGTCCTTCATTTTTCATCATAAATGGTATTTATTCATCAGACTGCCAACCTTTTTTTAACCAGCATGCCCAGGAATGACTTTTTATTTCTTTTCCTTAATAGAAGTAACAGTGTAAGTATGAAAGTTGTCACTCTGTTTATTATTCAATATTTATAAGCACTAATTAAAC